CAAACAAACAAACAGAATGAGGCAGCGGAGTAAACGAACATGAAAGTAAAGACTTACTGAACAACACCCAGCTTATTTGATGCCTTTGTTAACTTCACTGTGAAAGAGGTGCCATCAATCTCTTCTTCATCCGGAGGCGGAAGCGTTCCCAGCGGAGGAGGAGCTAAAATAAAAATGCAATGTAGTCTGGTCAAATTATACAGGCCTACAACACAGCGGTAAAGCCTAGGGCATGCGCAAAGAGATTAATTTTGGCCGACCATGCGCCAGTTTCCCGCGAAAAAATTTTCAAAGAAAATTATATGAAACGACCGCTGTCGCGCACAATAAGTGAAAAAGTTCTAAATGTTCTCAGAAATTTGTGCAAGGAAAAAAAAAGGGGAAAGGAAAGCTTAGGAATATTCGAACAAAAAGGTCATTTGAGACAGCGTTACCCCAATACCGTTAAATAGTGTAATGTAATGGTATAATAAAAATCTTCTTTGAGGCATTGCGACGATGTTTCTTTTACAATGGTCCATCATTGGTCACACTTATAACAGAGAATTTGGCTTCGTCAAAAAAGTTTACAACCACACACGTTGTAGTTTTCATCACGTTGTTTGGAAATTTCAAGCTATAAAAGTCGGCTCAAAAGCCAATCAAAATACAGCATTAAAGCGGAGCCCCATAACTAGGAAATTTGGTGAGCCATAAAGGCAAGGGAATTTTATTGTGATGTCATGTGCGTACGTCCATCGGTACGTCCGTCAGTGCAAGATGCTTTATTACAAAGAGTCCTTTTTACCTGCCGGATCTGTTCTACTTTCGATTGCTACAGAGTAATCCCCAAGCCCGCCAGATGATTGGCAAGCCACCTGTATTCCATAGCAGCGAAAAGGCTGCAAGTCTTGGATGGTATGCGTTGAATCTGGCGTTGTGTCTTCAATAGTCTTTAAATGCGAGCTGTTGCACATGAAGTACCTGATTTTATAGCCCACAATATCACCGTTCGGTTGTAGCGGTGGATTCCAAGATAACGTGAAGGAAGTGGAGGTCTTGCTCTCAATCTTTACTTTCCGTGGTGGGCCTTCAGGCCCTAGGAAAAAGAGATCTCTCAGTAATTCTGTCACTCATCAGGTTTGGCGGTCGATCGGTCAAATGAGTTTTATCGCAGCGCAAGTCGAGTTCCGGTCATGAAACGATTAAATCTTCATGGGGTGGGGTGGGGAAGGGGAGGTAGTTTACTTTCATTTTCGGTCTTTTGTTTTTAATTTCAAGACAGACAAGAACTGAAATAATTGGCTGTTTCACTGCTCGCTGCACGAAAACGTGTTCCACAGTTCAACACCATTCTCTTCTATTTTAACGCTTATGTCCCACGCATTTTTCCTTATGAACAATTTCATGGAAACTTTCATCCAAGGTTTTTGAAACACCTTAAAGTTTTGATTAAAGACATTACAATTTGAAAAGCAGAAAACGTTGTGGCCGCTTCTAAGCAATTCTCTCTCACCGTATATGTGTTTAGTAACATAACCTTACGCGTCCGAGAGAAGCAGATTAAAGCTGCCTAACTTGTTGTAGTAAATATACAAATTGTTAAAACATCTTCCTAAAATAACTTGATTAGAAAGCAAAGCTCAGCGAGTAATATCAGAAGTTACGGTTTATATCCTTCGAAAAACACAATAAAATTTAAATTCCTGATCGCGTTGAAGTGGAAACAGGTTGCTTGAATACTGATATTTTAAATCAAAATTACCACTGGAACAATGTCACTTGACAATACCAATAACGTTCTAGCGATATTAAAAAAAGCTGAGTCGTAATTCGATATAGCTCCAGTCAAACAAACAAATACACTGACAAACAATCATTCAAAACGAAAAAAAATAGTAGACAAGGACAATTCTTACGTGTAGCTTTGGTTCTCACGTCCCTCTTAGTAGACAGCCCTGTCAGGTTCTTTCTTAAGTTGTACGGTTGAACAGAAAACGTGTAATTCGTGAACGGCTTAAGATAAGGAACCACCTTTGAGGGGGGTTTTCCTGGTAAGACCAACGTCGTAGCGCGAGAGAAATCATCTGACAATTCCCAGTAAGACAAGTAGTAGCCAATGTTCCCATTCGGCCTCTCAGGAGCCTTCCAAGACACTTCAACGGAATTGAATTGAATCTTTGGAAATGATAGTTCCCTGACTTCAGATGGCGCTATTACGTCAAAGAGAACGATAAAAAGAAACAAGTTTATCTTGAAGACCGGGTAATCTATTATTATCAACTGAGTTGATAACGTAAATTGGCCACCGTTAAGAGTGTTAAGGCTGACGTTTCGTGTGTTAGCCTTTCGTCAAAGCGAATGACGAGGAGAAATGTAAGCCTTAAAACTCTTAACGGTGGCCAATCTACGCTAGCAACTCAGTTGATAATACTAAATTGCCTTGTTATATTCTCCAATCGACGTAGCGCCACAGTTTCTCTGGACACTTACCCTCTTTATTCATTTACCCTAAACACGTCCAAAGACATTTAATTGGAATCTGAGTTTTAAAAATTCCTTTCTTTAATATTTGAAGGGCTCGGAGTTTCATATAGCTGAGGTCAATACACCAAATGCAAATATAAAGGAGTACTCTATCTACCCGTGTTGAGCTGCACGAAAGTATAGCAGATTGTAAGCGTAGAAATCTATCCATCTTTCTCTGGGTTATCATGGAAGAAAATCCATCATACCACCCCCACACAATTGGCCTGGAAGTCCTCTCCCCCTCCACCAACTTCCCGAGACTCACCTGCCTCGTCAGTCATAACCTGGACATCAGTTTTCTCTCCTCCACCAGCGGCCGTGAAGGCCTGGACTGTGACATTATATGAGGTGTAAGGCTGAAGCTTGACCAGCGTAAAGTTTGTACCGAGAGCAATATTTTCTGTTGAACGTTGACTACTGTCTGATGCTGCACGATTGAAAACCTAGAGTAACAAAAAGCAAAGGAGTGAAAACTGCAGAACTTTAGGTGATCTTCTGTGGAAAAATGCGAATCTGAATTTTTTTTATTTATTTACGAATATACTCTATGATTTATTTTCTTACCTTTCCCTAGATTCCAAAATAACAAATAGTGGATTAAGACTCCTAACAGAATACTACTGCTACAATAAATTTCGTTCGCACTTGCGTAAAAATACAAAGGAGTAAATGTAAACTAATTGACTTCTCTCCAGATGGAAATTTTTTAACCAAAGAGAAAAGTTGAAACAAATATTTGCAAAAGCATCAACTGGTTGGAAATAACAATTAGTAGACGGCAGATCAATCAGCTTTTTACAGAACTCAGCCTTGATATTAACCTCAGGCAACCGAGAACAAATCCTTTGAGAAGCAGAAGGGGGGAGGGAGGGGGGGGGGCATGAACCCAACACCGTTTGATAATGCTTTTCGCGTGCGCTGGTTGGCTTGTTAGAAAGTGATTAGCAAGTATTGTTTACCTCCGAGCAGCCGAAGAGACAAAATCGCGCGTCAAGAGTTTAATTTTCGACCATTTATCGTCATATTGACAGAAATGAACTAATTTTTTTGGTAACCGTCTGGTATATAAATACCTCCCCGCTTCACAGCTTGCCTAATATCTACCATTATTCGCCTCCACCTGGGAGAAGTATAATTAATTATTGCCTCAAGCTATTCTTAGTTACCTTGTAGCTTTTCAAGATTCCATTCACTCTCGCCGGCCTCTTCCACGTGACGTATATTGTATTTTCGCTGGTGTTCCAAGCACGTAAACTAAGAGGTTTCGAAGGAACTGGCGAGGAAAAAAAATAATGATCAGCCGGTAAATGATATAAAATGCCCCTTAATCATAATATCTATTTTCAAATTCAATACAATCATAAGGAATAATTTTATTCAAGCAGTCCATATCCAAAACCAAAATATTTGCATTAATCAATAGCCCAAAAAAGTGGTCGCCGAACGACCTAAGTAGAACATAAGGCAGGTATACCTGATCAGTGGACAGCACAGGGAAACTTATGAGTCTAACAGCCCATTCACACCAAAGCTTTAACATGTTTTAAAGCTGTTTTGTTAAACACGCTTTTGATATTTTGTCTTCACGGAAGCAACTTAAAGTGATGTTTGTCGACTTCAAATTTAGCACAATGGAAATACAAGTTGATGTCACTTGAACCTTTTGCAAAATTCAGTTTAACTAAACATGTCTTGCTGGTGTGAATGGGGTATAAGTCGCTATTGCTTTCGACTTGCCCTTGGGTTGGCTAAAATGGTGGGGCAGGGTTTCACAGCGTGCAAGAGCAGAACCGTACAAAGTCTACATTGTCCTAAACATCCAGATGAAACTAATTGAAACTGTCAATTTCACTTGTACCTCCTTCGCTCGTCCTGTAGGTATTGGTGGCAGCCGGCCCGAATCCAACAGATGTTTGGGCCTCCAAGGATATATTATATAGAGAATAAGCCTCTGTGAAAACAAAGACGACATTAATTGAACTACACAGCAATAAATTCCAAGCCATGTATAATCTTAAAACAAAAGCGAACACCCATACCCCACTAAAAAAACTCATTAATAAAATTAGTTACAGAATCCTCGCTTTGTTCTGTACGTGTATTGGGGGTGAGATAAAAGACGAGGTGAGAGGGGAGGGTAAGGAGCTAAATGTACACGACCAATGACGACAAGAAGAAACGTTGGTAGAAAAACGTCATTTGTGGGTGACGCACATTAAGTTCGAAATCCCAAAATTTTTGCAATATTGGTTGTTGGAGATAGCCAGGCTTTAAGACATGTTCAACGAACATACACTTGTTATTACTTAATCCATGAGCCGCTTTGTCTCTCCTATGTTACGATAGACTATCCTAAAGGCTATGCGGGGACTAAAAAATAAATCTCACTTACTCAGGTTTTTGATCTCGTACCGGCTTTCAGCAGCACTTAAATTTTCGCAACTATAATTTCGCTCTTCTACGTATCGCCAGCACAACCGAAAAGCTATGAGTATACCATTCTTTTCTATTGGTGGTTTCCAAGTTAACGCCAAGGTGTAGGTGTTACTGGTCACATTATCTATAACTGGTTCGCCAGGCACTGCAACGACAAAGAGGCCATTCAGAGTAAACAAGGATAGTCTTCCAACTCCTACACAAGGTAGTTGTTAGGAACTGCGTTGCTATATGCAGTTACAAAGTTCTGTCTCCGGTGACATATAGAATACTTTTTTATTTTTTTTACCTGTCTTGTTAAGTCTCAGTAGACCACAAAAGGCATAGAAAGCGAAAAAAGAAGACGATTTCGGCTTTCACACAACGACAGAGATTTATCTATGTAATTAATTGTACATTTCGAGGCCAGTGTAATTGCAAGTAATTGAGCATTTCGAGGCCAGAGTCTCCTGGTATCGTGCTTGCTGCACTAAAGCAATTTAATAAAATAAAAACATAACTGGGAAGACCGCACGACACAAGGCATCTGAACCTGCGATCTCTTCCCACTCGAACAATTTCGTTGCACTTGGAAGAAACAGTTCCCAGCGACCACGCATAATTGGCCAGCCGGTCCAAAATGGCGTGCAAACTCCACGCATCGCCACCGGCATCCGCGGGACGGATCCAAAAAACCCGCGGGAACGCGAGACTGCCTCTAACATAAAATTTTTAGTGTTCTGATAGCCATGTTAAAGAAAAACAACACACTTACAGTCCTCAAGAGTCGTATTCTTTGTATCATTTACACTTGGCGGACCCGCACCAATGTCATTCACGGCTTGGACAGTAACGTAATACTCGGTGAACTTTCTCAAATGTGGAATAAGCTTCTGTGTGGTGTTGTCAGTGGTGTTGATAGATGACTCCTCGCCAAGAGACGTGTATCTTATGATATAATAGGTAATGACTCCATTTCGTTCCAGTTCAGTTGGAGGGTTCCACTTCACGAGTAATGATGTTGATGATTCGGCGAATACCGCGACATTAAGAGGAGGGCCAGAGGGCGCTTGAAACAGGACAAAAACAAAATACACCTACATTTCGTTACTTGTTAGGAATAAAGTTGGTGGTAACCTAGCATGCTTGTCTAAATGAACGAGTTGCATCCCAATCGGCAGAAGCGGATCCAGAGGAAGAGTCCACTCTAGTCACGCAACGCTTTCACTTTCAGAACGCGTTGCATGATAGGACTACGTTCGCTTCAAATTCTACAAGTAGATTTTGGTGATGATTTCGATCACTACTTCTCTTTCAAATAAACCTAGAAAAAGATCTGCACTACAAAATCACCCTTTCATTTCACATTCCTTAAACGGCTAAAAGGCAGACTGCAAAAGTTTGAACGGCGTAGCAGAGGGAGCCGGAAAGAGAAACTACAGGGAGGGGCTGCCTTTCCCCTCCCCACCAAAATTAATATACTGTAAAGGAAAACGTACTCTTATTCAGAGACTTTACCCCAATAGCTCATAGGAACTTCCATCACCGGCACCCTCGATTAAAACTTTGCTCCTCGTACCCATATTTAGGAAAGCTGATTCAAATTTCTTTATCATCAAAAAAAGCCTTCACAGATTTAACCTAGGTACCTGCAGGATGAGTGGTCTCTGTGGCATTCGTCCCCGCACTACTCCAGGAATACCTTATATTGTACGCCTGTACCATGAAGGTGTATGGCACATACTCATGGAGCCCGCCCACGACATATTCCATTAGAGGCCCTTCATAGGCCACAAGCTTGGTACCAGCTCCCTCGCGAGTCTGCCAGTAATACAACCTGTAGAAGATTTCGCCGTTTGGGTGCAGGGGTTTCTCCCAAGTCACTTTGATGGCAGTGGAGTTCACTGTTTTTGCGCTTACTTTTACAGGAGGCGAAGGTCCTGCGAAAAATTAAATCGTAGAGTTGCTTACAACTTCGAATTTGCCGCTACGGAGGGTAAATATACACATTAAAAAATTTTAGTGGTGTAGAGTATGTGTTCTGGCCTTAAAGTCAGATGAAAATGTTTCGACTTTGGTGAACGCCTTGTTACAGTGAATTAGTTTTCACTATTTCGGCAATTTCCGATAAAGTGCCGAAAGTAATCGGAATTGCCTTGACTTTGCCTTACTTTATCCTGTGATTGGTCAAGAAAACTCACGCCACCGTCTCCACCAATCATATACAAAACTTGAGTCAACTCGTCGGTCGCGTTTTCCTGCGCTTTAAACCGTTTGTCATTTTTAAGTCTGACTTCTCAATGGCCTCGTGCCATATATTTCTTTGTTCTGACCTTCGGTTTTGGTCTTATTACACCCAATAAGGACGAAGTGCGCTCGATTGCTCTGATCAATCACTTGCTCATGTCTTTCATTAATTCTTTGATTAGTTCGTACGTAAGCTTACGTAGATAAATATAACATTGGTTAGTTATGGTGCGAGATACACCTTTAGTTTTAGAACAAAAGCTACTCTGAAAAACAGAATCTCAGAGAGAGTTCATATAGTATCGGTTTTTTCAACTTACTGTCTTCTGAAGTCGTGTTTGAAACTTCTTCACTCTCTGGCCCGACACCAATAACATTCACCGCTCTAACTGCAAACCAGTACCTCGTGAAACTGGTGAGGTTTTTTACTTGTATAGTGGTTTGATTATCAGCTGTAGCGAGCTTGTTTGGTTGGCCTGATCGAGTTCTATAGTCCACATCATATCGGAGAATGACTCCATTCTGTTCCTCGAGAAGGGGCGGGCCCCACGTGACTTGTATAGACGTCGATGAAAGCGTCCAGGCTTGGACGTTTTGCGGGGGGCCTGAAGGTTCTGAGATCAAATCAAAGTTTCAAACGAATGAGATCACATTTCAGTGTACATTTCGCAGAATTCAAAGTATACATATTTAATTAATATTCAGTTGTGCTGAATTTGATAAACAGCTCATCGGAGATCGTCAGTCTCCGAGTAGCAGACAGAAAGAAACAGAGGACGAGACAGACATACAGGAAGGCAGACAAGCAAAAAAAAAAAAACGAGTTGCTGCAGCATGGCCGCGAAGGTGTCGGATGGAACTGCCCACTGAAGTTTTCACTAACAGAGAAAAAATCTCTTCTAAGCCTAGAAAAACGACGAATATAAACAGAATAACTGAGCCACGTGGTAAACGAAGAACTGGCTGTCAGACCAACCCACCAAGAGACTTACACTGGAACCAAGTTGACACATTGACTGACTAACTGTATTTCTGTTTACTTTCCTGGCTGACTGACTATCCTACAAACATTTTAGTCCCAGACTACGAAACTCCCGTGTAAAACTAACAAGCGCAAGTGGATTGTGGAAACTTGCAAGGAAACCTAGGTTCCAGTTTTACACCAAGATGGCTAGAAGTGATAGCGAGCAAATAAACACCACACACCTTTTAAGGATCAATGTCAGTATCTGAGCAACTTCTCACCGACCCCTCCCCTAACTCAACTTAAACCCTACCTTGTTAGCAGCCGACAGTTGTTGGATAGGAGAGAGGTGGGTGCTCTGACACTGATACTGACAATGATCCCCTATTTACGTATTATATGTTTAAAACGAACCAATGTTCTTAAGGAAAATAATTGCTTACCCGAAGGACGAGTACTTTCCACGGCCACAACTGGTTTGCTTTCCCACTTGTTCTTAATATTGAACGATACAACTGTGAATGCGTACTTGACATACTCTTGTAAGCCAGTCACTAAATACGTAGTATCATTTCCTTCGTACACCGGGCGGTTTTCCTCTTCCTTCTCTCCACTGAGGCGAACACGAAGCTTGTAGTTTATTTTTCCATTTGGATTCAAAGCTTTGACCCAAGAAACTCTGATTGCTGTTGAGTTCATGCTCTTTGCTGTAACATTTCTTGGAGGTGATGGTTCTAAAATTGATTTAGTTGCATCGAAATAAGTACCAAGCCAATACAAACAGATCAAGAAGTCAATTGAACAAGGGCTAAGACACGGATTGAGAATTTTTTCCGATAAAGTGCCGAAAGTAATCGGAATTGCCTTGACTTTGCCTTACTTTATCCTGTGATTGGTCAAGAAAACTCACGCCACCGTCTCCACCAATCAGATACAAAACTTGAGTCCGAATTGTTCGTTTGAAGTCATTGTCAATATTTCCCATCAATCTTTACATGTATGCTCTTTAAGTGCGTGTATTTGCGTGCGAGCGTGCGTGGGTGTGTGTTCTTTTATTGCCGTATTGGTGTTTCTCCGCTCTCGTTTTGTGGTTTTCAAAATTAGTTTCGCTAAAGGCTCTGGTATGCAATGAAACGAAGGTCAAGAATCTTTCGACAGTACAATAAATAGATTTGTATCTAATCAACTCCAAATCACCCCCAAATTAATTTGAACTTGATTTCAACCTCTTTTACAGACATGAGAGATACTGATGACTCATATTCATCCAATATCAACACCTTCATGACACAATTACTCACGATTGAACACACAAGGTTATTTTCGCTATTATTCATATGCTGAAATGCGTCATTACACTGTAACAATATTCAATGGCACTTGGCAATGTTGCTCGCATTTGTTTCGAGTGAGTAATATTCGACTTCCTTTTTATACTAACCACCTAGAAGTGACCAGCATCTAATTTCTCCTTACAGTGTCACCGCTAAGTCAACCACTGAGGTCATGATTTATAGGAAATAATCGCAAACGAAAGAAACTCTTGATTGTTATACACATTCTCCTTGTGGAACCATTACAAACGTATGTATGATGTCATGGGCTCGACAAAACAGGACAATCGGTTCCTCTTTTTCAAGTTTCTTTATGCCATATTCTTTATCTCGATGCCCGATCACTGATACTCAATTATCGATGTTCTTCCTTGAATCTTCGTTAATCGATACTTAAATCATTCAAGAGTCGAGTGGAGTGTCCAGCCTTGAGTAACAGAAAGACACGATTCGAAAATTTACTCGAACTTTCACATTAGGTCATAAAAATTACATTTTAATACATTATAGTCAATAATAAAACGTTACCTGCTTCCAGAGTTGTGGGGACTGGGGTGCAGGATAACGAGAATACATGTAACTGAATTCTATCATTTTAATTTTGGCCTATGATTGGTGGAGAGAACTAAAGTAAGGTAAATCCAAAGTGTTTCAGTCCAAAATTATTTCGTTTTCAAAAAACTGTAATTGGTACTGTACTGATAAACGTCACCTTACATAATATAACGTTTCTTAGTGCACCATGCTAATACCAATGATGGTTTTAACAATAAGAGAAATGATAATGATGATGATGATGATAACAATAATACCTTATGACAATAATAATGATTACATTTACAACTGTATAGTGTTAATGATAATGTAACCTCAAAAATGTGTGGCAATTAAGGATTGATTGATTCATCGATTCAGACATTCAACTAAAAACTGCTCTATTCCAAAAAGTAAAAAACAACATCAACGACAAACGATCGAAACAAAACAGAATGTCAACAGATTTTCTCAATTTTAACACTTACCTGCCTGGTCTGTAGTTTCCTCAGTAAATACCTCTGAGCTTGACAAATTGTATTTCACATTGTATGCAGTCACACTGAAAATGTATCGTGTGTATGGCTTCAGATCAGAGACTATAAACTGTGTATTATTCCCATCATACAACAACTTTGCCACCGAACTAGGCTCTCCTGTCCTCTCACATGAAAGCCTATATTTTATTTTTCCATTGAGCTTCTTTGGCTCTTTCCAAGAAACACGAATTGCCGTTGCGTTCAAAGTCTTGGTAGAGAGATTCTGGGGTGCTGAAGGCACTGGAAGAATAACATAATTATGAGGAAAGTATGAAAATATGAAGTATGAAAGGAAATAAATTATGAGGAAGATCATCATTAATTCTATTTAAAAATCATAAAAATATTCTGTTCCCAAGTAATCCATGACAAATAAATAAATAAATAGGTTAGAGAATGTAATAAAGGATTTCCACATGGCACCTACTAAGTATCAAAGCTTTTAAATATCAGTGTACCAAGCTAAATTCTAAACACTTTGCAAAAACAATGAATTTGATTGGTCTGTCACAATCATTCTATTAAATTAGTACTTCAACAAAGAAGATACAATTGTTTTCCAACCCATTGAAAAGTGTTCAAAGTGACTTTGACTTTGACTTTGATGTGCACCAAGGATGTACAAAGAGGTGTTGATGATGAATAAAAAATCCTACGAAGTGTTCCTGCAGTTTGTAATTTATTGTCTACTGTCATTGATGTTTTGTAAATGTTCTAAAATGCACAATCCTATGGCTTGTGCAATTATGAAAACTTTCAAAATATCACTTGATCTTGTAAATACTATGTAACTAAATGCACTTCCATGCATATGATTTTCTATACATTTTACACCCTCATGGCACAAACTCCTCCTCAGTTCCTGTTTCTGTAATCCATACTCACCCCCTTCATCTGTTTGTTCCTCCACAGTGACGCGCTTTCCTTCTCCTTTACTTGTGAATGCACTGACATTGATGACATAAAGTGTAAAGGGATTCAGAGGAGACAGGGTAACACTTTTTTTCAGGCCAAATTTCCGAATGAATGTTTTTCCTGAGGAATCCCATTTCACCTTAAAGAAAACAAAAGTCATAGATGAGGAAAGAAGGTAAATGTCACTCTGTCACTGGATAAAGAAAGATGGTATTCATTCATCAAAAGAGTGGGACAAAGCAAAAAATCAGGAGCCAGTTGCTTGAAGCCAATTAGCACTAACCTAAGATTAAATTTCAATCCCGATTTCTTTATTCCTTTGCTCAAAAGCCTTTTTCAGATAATTTCTCTATTCTTTTAAGAGTATTCAATCATCAAATTCTAGACAAAAAGAATTTAACTGAATTTTCTTTTAAAAATTTCAGATCTGTAATCAGATTTCACACTAACCCTGGGTTATCTTAACCCAGCTTAGAACAATGTGGCCCCAAAGCTTCTAACCCCACACCATAGAATCTTAGGTTATCAAAAAGCTTGAGCCAAAATTATTATTAATCTAACCTATACTAGCTCAGAACCACCTGGAAAAGATTATTGTATGTCTAAATGAAGTCATCTCCATCTCTACTGTTTTATCAAAGTGCAAGTGGTGCACATTTTCCTATATTTCTTTGTACCCATAATGACACACTGTACAAGAGAAGAGGCTGAAAATTGCCATTGCTTCCCAGCTGTTGAAATGGTTCAAACCCTTTGACTTCAAAAGTTGGAAGGTGTTACCCCTTTGCCCCACCTCCAAGAGTGAACATTTATATTTACATGTAAGCTGTAGTTAATGATTTATAGCATTAAATCCAGCCACACCTGATAATACAAAAGCACACCATTCTTATCTGCTGGTTCACTCCAATTCAGATATATTGCACTGGAATTCAGAGCCCTTGCTACAACATGGCGAGGTTGACTTGGAACTAAACAATGACAAACAGATCCTCAATAATTTTCAAATGAATAGAACAAAATTTGACCACACATCACTAGTACAACAATTTCACACTTACAATTTGTGTATTTGCAAAGATGCAATCATAAAAAGTGCACTCTTACCATCTTCATCAGTTCGCACAATGACCTTGTCACTGAAAGGGCCTGGGGCAATGGTAACAGCTCGTACTTTAATTTCATAATCGGTCCACTTGTCCAGATTGCGCACTGTATAATTAAGGACAAGTCCAACACTCACTAGCAAGCCACTCTGAAGCTTTTCAAATTCTGGTTCTGGTGTTGGTTCAAGCGGTTCAGTCACAGGGAACCCACCAGTGGTTGGTGCAGTGGTTGGCTCTTGGGGAGTCTCCTTCTTTATGTATATTTCATATTTTTGAAATATGCCATTTTCAGTTCCTGCTGGTGGTGGTTGCCATGCTATAAAGATTTCTTGTGAGCTAACATTACGTGCAGCTGTTATAACAGGAGCAGCTGATGGAGCTGACAAAAATGCAAAAATATTTAAAGTAATGGACTTACAACAAGTGCATTTTACTGCAAGTTATGTCACTATTCCATCTATATAAATTACAAAAAAAAAATCTTTGACAACAACTGTTTGTGTGGGCAATTTACCATGTTGAGCCCCAAAGACCCACCTTGATAACCATAGTCCATTTCACAGTTGCATGCTTGGTTTCCAAGCCTTTGAAAAAGAATGAGGCTAAGGGTGACCTTGTTATCATACAAACTTAGCTGCTGCTTTTAAAATGCAAATTACTTTGTTATCATGCTAACTAGATGCTGGTCTCTATTACAACAAGGTCACCTTCAGCCTCACTCCAAATCAGAGGTTTGGCAACTAAGTACACAACTGTAAAATGGCCTATTAGGCCATTAGATCTCCCAACTTAATCATTAACGCTTGAACTCCCATGAGTGACCAAGACAGAATTTCTCCTTACAATATTAATATAATATCAAGCAGACAAGTGATAAGAATAAAGAAAAATATTAATTAGGAGATTATTAGTTGATCCAATACCAAATTCTCCAACTAACATCACAAGAACTATATGGCAGACAGTAAGAAGAATTACTAATGAGATATTGGGAGTTAAAGGGTCAAGCAAACTTTCTTCATTGTCAAAACCATGAGTGACACAGTGGCTTAGAGGTTAGTCCCCTGGATCAGAGGTTGAGGGGTCTGGGTTTAAGACTTGGTCACGTCACTGTGTTGAGTTTTTTTTGACAAAAAAACTTTATTTTCATAGTGCCTCTCACCATCCAGGAGTATAAATGGGTACCACCATATTGTCAGCTAAGCCCAAAAAAAAGCTGGGGGATAAGCTTACAGTGCATTGGCATTCCATCTGGGATCCCATCTCATCTCACCACCCAGGAGTATAAATGGGTACCACCATATTGTCAGCTAAGCCCAAAAAATGCTGGGGGATAAGCTTACAGTGCAATGGCATCCCATGCGAGGGAGAGGGGGAGGGGGTGGGTACTTCTTGGTAATGGGGATGTGCCGCTAGTAATAATCCTCGTTACTTCATGCTATGGAAACTGTTATAGGCTCCAGCTGGATGAGTAACTTGTCTTGAGTACAGACTTTACCTAATCATTGAAACCAATCATTAAAATAATTATCAAACAGCAGCCATTCATGTAACTTTACCTGCTTCATCAGTCATCACCCACTTTCTCTCTGCACTGTAATTGCTTCTCCCAAACTGGCTCTTTGCCACTACTCTAAAAGTGTAGTTTGTAAAAGGTTTGAGAAGTACAATGACAGCTTGTTTCTGATTAACAACACAGGCACCTTGCACCAAAGAATGATTACAAGCTGGTTGCTTCCAAGTTGAAATGTTGACACTGAATTCAACTGAATAATTGGTAGCAACAGACTGGTCTGATGTTGTGTTCCACTTGACAAGTACACTAGTAGCTGATAACACAGTGATGTTCTGAATGATTGGAGGATCTGGTGTACCTGGCAGGAGAAGAGTTTAACATACATGTACGTCAAGCAATTTGAAAATTAATATAATGTGATCAAGATTGTATCCCATCAGAGTGCAGAGAAAGAAGTGCAGGTAAGGAGGCAAGATCTGGCTCAAGTGGTTTGAAGGGTAGATTACACTATCCATAGGATAAATCTTTATCTGATGGATACCACTGTATGTTAATCTCTTCTACTGGATGATGATTTACCCATTGGATAGCATTCTCTGGCCCGATTTTTTTTTTTTAAGATCATTAACGCATGGCCTTAGTTGTTAACCAAATATTTCCCAGGCCAATAAAATTTGTTGTTAAGGCAAAATGATGCTGCTTCTACCTCCATCAACAAGTTTATCACTGAATAAAAGCACCATAGCCATCTAAACTAAAATAAAAACTAACTAAAATAAAATCCTTATCCACATAAAAAATCTCATGAACAACAGTTCTCAGAATAAATTTTAGGTGGTGTACAAAAATTGTTCAAACAAAACACAAGAAACAGCCCATCTGCAAAATAGTTATATGTCTTCTTCATATTACACAGTAATTATAGTACAGAATTATAATGTACAATTAATGCCAACAACAGAGTCGAGGTTGAACATACCTGGTGGGGAAGCAGTTGTTGGCAGAGGAGTCATCACACTTGAAATGAGAGACCCTGAGGTCTGCATATAAAATGAACTTGTAGTTGGGGTTAGGTGAATTGCACCTTGACTTGTAGAGACACCGACATTTGACACCATCGTAGCAGTGTCTGATAATGTCGGGGAGCTTTTGCCAGAAGCTTATCAAAGAGAAGAAAAAAAAAACACTCAATATTTTCAGCTCATTTAAGAAGCACATGTACTACAGTAGATATAGATTTCTAGATCTAGGTAGATAATAGCAACTACTGGTATTAGAAATCATTAAGTTTCAGTTCATTATTTGGATGTTGAACAGTTTCACTGTTTTTTTTTCTTTATGGGGTGATAATGTCTGATGCCATAACTAAAATACAGGTATCTCCATGTGTAATTCTAGTTAATTTGATATCAAACTCTCAAAAAATAGAAAAAAAAAATAACCAGCTGTCAAAAGAACAACTTCTGATATACAAGTGGATGCAAGGTTAGCTGTCAATGATGGCAACTTACCAACATTGATTCCATTTGTAGTACTTTGGGTCTGAATGGAACCTTTTGCAATGTTCTTGGAGGTTGTGGTGTTGATCAAGCCAGAAATTTTTGTTGATGCTACTACCAAAAAAGGACTGGAGGTTGTTGATACCACTGTGGGTAAATAATGGGAGGGTAATGGTCCTTCCTCTGAAGCCTGATTAGCGCAGACTAAAATTGAAAGATTCGGGATCAACATAAGCAATTAATATGTTACTGTAAAGCTTACAGCAAGTTGCCCCCTGTCAAAATACATAAGTCTGATCTCTAAGTACAAGTATCAAGTGTCATATTACCATCTAAAGATACAGTACAGGGCTATACAACATCTGCTTTTCACATAAATGGTACACATAGATCAAAGACATGATGAGATATAAAGCTGAAATTAGAAGTCTTCAATCATTAAACATGACTTTTGCCTCCAAGATCAAAATAACAAATCACTGCAGTGTCAGCTATACTTCTTCTTTGACCATTTTGAGCTCTGAGAATTGACATTAGAACAAACAATATCTCTTAGTTAATGGTTTTGTTTCTTCTTATCGCATTTCTGCTAAAAGTGTATTCATACTGAGAGAAATTCCTTTTTGGTTTCTTCAAGGAGTTAAGGTCCAACAATTTGAAACTTTATTCAAGCACATGTAAATCTACTGTGTAAACAACTGACTTATTTGCTGCTATAATGAAAGTATCCTGCTGAACCTCAGATTACTCTACCTACCAACTGTCATGCCTGGAGAACTGACACGCAACACAGCTTTTTCACATGTTTATGAAGAAAAAAAGCTCAAACAAAGCAGAGAAGAGGTAAGCTTTTCTACACGCTCAGGCTTTTTCCAAATCCTCTGATTATAGGAAGAAACGCACTAGAAGGAGGAGTGTGTTGGAATTTTTTAGGATGCCTTCTGAAATTTCTCTTAGTTTTGACATTGGAGGTTTTGTAGTCAAAGAAAATTATTATTCAGATTATAGGAGTGTATAGGTAATGATGAGTTAATTGTTTATATATCTGTACCCATGTAATTCTGGTTTATTACTTATGAGTCATGAAGGCTTTCCAATTTTTGCTGAGATGAAGCATGTTCAATCTTACATATTTCCAATGAGCTGAAAATATAGTATCAGTTGCAGATGATTTCCAGAGATCCAAGTCCCATGCTTAAAGTGATCAAATATGTGGACATCTTGCAACCTTTTTTCAGTCATTTGAACTTAAGGAGAAAAGTGTGTTTATGTTACCTACTTTGATTCCCTTTAAAAGCTGAAGGACAATAATTTCAATTTCATCCAAAACTCATTATACATGTACCACCATACAGACAGGACATAATCAACCGACAAAAAAAACCAAAAAATAGTGTAAACAATCAAAAGAAAATAGCCTTTGGAAGGATTAATTCATTTAAACCACAATACTAAAGATCACTGGAAATGCATAGCATTTGAAACTCTAAATCAAATAATATACATGAAAAATTATGCATATCTGAATAACAGATTCAGCATTTTCCATGTAACACGAGTGCAAAGCTATAACACACGTGCAAATTACAAGCAGTGCATGTGCTACCAAAATTGCTCTTGTCTAGACATTCTGCCATGCATTTTTCTTGCACATAATTAACAAGTAACAACATAATTTGTTGTGCAATTTGTTGTAAGTAAGCACTTGAACTTTCTCTAAGACAACAAATTGCAATTTTCTTGTCTCCAAAAAGTTTATTTGTGCTTAATACTACCAAATTGCATTTGAAATCATGTTGTTACCCATACAGATAAAATGCCCCGTGATGTCTGACCCGAGTTTTTTTCCTAGATCATGTGATAACACATACCAATAAGAACTACAAAGTGAAACATCTTCCGTATTTAACTGTAGATCGCAATTGAGGACAAAATTCATGACTCTGTAACACACTGCACAAAACATCTCATTACTGTTACATTCAAATTATCCTTGGTTATGTTTCTGTTCTTGTCTTTATCGTGACATTCATAAAAATTTCAGATTAATTATAATTTCAAAATTGTAATAGTCGTTTTCCAGATGAAGTAGTTGAAAATGGTAATTAAATCATTGAATGAAAACGAAATGAATTCCATATGCGAGAGGCACATGAAACTTCGTTCAATGATTAAATAACATCTGCAGAAAGAAACTCTCCAGCTGTAAGAGTTCATTTCATTTATTCGATGGAACACGAAACGTGATAAATTTACACCCTCTGTTGGTTATGATTGTTGTGAGCTCGTATTTCGCACATTTGCATGCTTCCAAATGCCTTTCAACCACGCAAACCGGACTAGTCACAGACAGAAAAGGACATCCCTATTTAAAAATGGATGCGAATAATCCTCCTTATCTGCTAAATCTGGTTTTACTTAGAGAAACCGTAAAAAGTTCTCGCCCCCTTTCAAATCTTTCATCAACAGCTCAAGTGCTTTGGCAAACGGAAGGGTAGTAATATTTACAAAATCAGCTGCGAAAGAGTCACCCCTACGACGTTTATTGCCCAAACAAAACGAAAACACAAAGAAAACACACGGGCACTTTCTTCGATGGCTAACGAAGCCCATCGGCAAAACGTGGGCGCGAATCACATCAACATACCTAAACCCAACTCGAGACTTACCAAGACATGACATTCTCACGAGTGCGTAGAAGAGAACCAAAGTACAATCCATGTCGCTTGTCTCCAGATGCCTTCTTTCGACTAGATTTTTCTCAAACCAGCTAAATTTAAGATGCAACGGACTTTCCTGTTATCAACCAGTGCCTCTCCTGTCCATTCTCATCGATCTCGAGGGTTTTCAGCGGCTTTTAATGCATACATCTTCCTATTAGTCTGATCGATAAAGCGAGACTGCACACACACTTATATGAAGCACAGGAAGTAGGCACCATTCTCCTGTGCAAACACGTCATGCGTACTTCCGGTGAATTGTTCCTAATTTCTTTACTTCCCTTCACTTTTTCTTTAATTAATGGATAATAATCGTATTCGGAGTCAGAGGAAAAAATTCGAGCGTGGAAACACACACACATAATATGATGAGGAAACTTTGAAAAATAGTGATTTAAAGGTATGCCGTTTCGTGTCAAAAGGCGGTGGGCATATGAAGGGCTTCAAAATCGCTCAAGCGCTCAAGGAAATATAATAGAATCACTCGACCTCTTAAAAATGGCGCCATCCGATTCTGTACGAAGCAAAACTAAATTAATAAATAATTTCTTTTCTTCAGTGACAAGCATATTTCAAATAATTGGACTTTGTGCCTCTGTAGAAGCTCAGGGAGTGAAACGATCCAATGAAGTGGCAATAGCCATGAGCTGAAAGGCGTCTCTTTGTAGAATTGATAATTTCCTCCAAAGCTCGAACAGACATCATCGTTCCCTTTTTTCTCAGTTAGCTGACAGCGAATCCATTAAGAAGATCCAATGAGCCAGTTCTCCCCCACCCTCCTCTCCCTTTCCCCAATCAGAACTGCGGGTATTTGTACCACTCGGTTCTTCCAGAGACATAATCACATGTTACTACTCAACTTGAAGTATTTGAAATTTACTCATCTTGAATTATTTTCTAGCTTATTTAGCTCTATTGTAAGAAAAAGTAACGTGTTTCCTGAATCTATATGTTTGGAAGCCCTTGCAAAATTTCCCAGACCTCCCCCTAGGCCGGTGATCCTCTTTCCCAACCCCCTCTCCCAAATTCTTTATCCTTGCTGTCTCATTTAATATTTTTGGTTCTCAATTTTTTAATTTTTTTAAAGCCCCTTTCAAACACAACGAGTTTGAAAGCTATTCATTGCATACATGCAGACGCTTTGATCCTCATCGCTGTCTACACTTTCCCGAGAGCCACTCGAACAATCCCAAAACGTGAGTCTCGAGTTGTTCTCGCGCCTTACCACGCAACATACATGTAGTGGGCTCTTTCTGTTCTTCCCACCTCGCGAGTAAACTTTTCGGCAGTCTATATTCTTTATTCCATTTTGTTTAGTGTCTTTTTTTCAGGTTTTTGTCTTTTTTTACAACTTTGTTTTCAACTTCAGGAGCCTTGTGTTGTGTATTTTACAATCATTACAATCCCTAACAGAGGGTGTGAATGGGGTTAACTCTTTAACTCCCAAGATCTCATTAGTAATTCTCCTTACTGTCTGCTATACTGTGCTTGTGATGTTAGTTTGGAGGATTTGGTATTGGATCAACTTAAAATCCCCTAATTGATATTTTTCTTTATTCTCATCACTTGTCTGCTTGATATTGTATTGATATTGTAAGGAGAAATTCTATCTTGGTCACTCATGGGAGTTAAAGGGTTAATCAACTGGCGACTGAATACCGACAAAACGAAAAAAATATTACAGATTAGCGACAAGTAAATACTAACCGACAACCGACATAGTCTCACATGGTCCAACATTATCGATATTTGTATTCAGAAAGAAGAGCATTCTAGCTTCGGAGATAGCCACTTTAAATGTAAGATTCGGTTAATTATGGAATTTCCAGTCATCAGACTTACTTTATGACCGAGTAGGAGTGCAGGCTTATTTCAATAACAGCGCCCGGTTCTCGAACCCTCAAATCACCCAAGGAAAATGAGTAATTAACTTGGATTTTTAATTATTAACCGAGATTTACCGACAACCGACAACCGACAAAGATTGAAAATTTAACCGACTACAGACAAAGTAATGAAATTCTAACCGACAACCGACATATGAGGACCCCTCATTCAGACCTTCCCAACAATAGCACGTCATGACGTACACTAACCCATAATACCTTAACACCCTAGCACCAGCATCCATGTTCTCGATACTCTTCTTTAAATACTTTAACAAGGAGAATTTTTAAAACAATCAAAGCTTCTTAGGTTTGCCACCATTTCCTTTCACTCTCATCGAAGGACAAATTATTTATTATTAAAGAGTTAGTCACAAGATTTTTCATTACAGCATTGCTACTGATCATGAATCAAACATTAGGTCATGAAAAGAACTGAAATGATCGCCAACTAAATAAACAAATCCTCCTTGTCAGCACCTTAGGAAATGTACAGAGAACAGCATAGAGACTATGTGCTTACTGATGTAAGGATGTAAATGTGTTAAGACCCTGAGTATTTGTCTAGTCGAGGATTTGAATACCGACACACTCTTAAGAGAGTTGACCGCTCTCAAGTCGCTTCAATCGATATGAATCTATTTTCTCTGTCCCCTGATCAGCTTATGAAGCAAACAAAATAAGAGAAAATTAGCTGACGAGACTTTCTGCTCAAATGTACCAAGAACTTTTAATCAGTCTCACTGCTCAGGCGACTCACTGCTTAGGAAAAAAGCCTGTCAACAACAACATCCGTTAGGTAAATCGGCGCAGATTCATGCTCCTCTTGGGAAAAGTTACGGAGTATGTGCTATGCTTTTTCACTCTATTTGATGGAGCATGCAATTTTGCAGCCGAGATATGACGTGTTAGTGCACACATGGACTTACCCACCTTCCGTGGATTTTCGTGACGAACATATTTCGCAAGTGAAAGTAAACACAGTCTGACAAAAGCGACATCAAAATCCTTTTACGTTTGACCTGACTCCTATGTAAACAACGCTTATGATAAGTTTTTTAAAATGCGTGACGATCAGCGAACTCGTATGAGTAATCACAAGAATTAAGGAGTCTTAAAAAAAATGCAACCGATCATTGTTCTATATTCGAGTCTTGCACTGTATTTAGATGTTAATTCTTCGTGGCTTAAATAAACCTGGAATCTATCCTTTTATACGGGGGATAAAGTCATTCGAGGGCAAAGCGATGTAGACAAAAACGACGCCACTATTTGCTTTGTTTTGCGACAGCAATAGCTGTAGTTTATTCAGGTGTGGAACAACTGATCATCTGTTGGCCTGTTTTAAGACAGTATGCAAATCAGCTCATGGTGAATGGAGGAATATGATAATGTCAACAAGCCAGTTGATTTAGTTTTAAAGAGCTGGGTGTTGATTGTTTTAAGACGTTACCATCGGGTGTTTAAATGCCGCCGCAGATCCAAACAATCTTCGTCCTCAGTGTCTAAGATATCTGGAACACCTGGTCCGTTACTTCCAAATCGTAAAAAAACTGCTCGCACGAAGCTAAAAATCATCCCAAATAATTTTGCTTCGACTAACTTCGACGATTTGAACTCCGAAGAACTGGCATGACTGTAAAGGTAACTGAGCTCAATTGGTATTCATTCATTAACTTTCTCAAAAGGAATAGAGTTTCAAGATTCTTATAGTGCTGTGGTAGGCTATTTCCTGCAATATTTTGCTGAGTAACCTTGATCAGAGAGCTGCATAACTTACAATGCAACACTGTCAACATGTAAGGCGTCATCTCGTATTGCACCTTACGACTCCAAGCAGCAAACAGTTTGATCAGTATTGTGTTATAGTTAGGGCCCTTGAATACTTTTGTGATCCTAAGAAGTTGAGTTATTTCATTTTCATCGATCAGTTATCTCGGTGCTATGATAGGAAAATCTTGGTATCGAAATTGTTCGCATGTGTGAAGAGTGGAGCAAGAAGAAATATGTGCAACTGGGTACAGGCCTCGCCTAATTGAATTGGACTCAATAGAAACAGATCGATAGCCAACTAGAGTGAGTTTTGATAAGTAAAGAAGCAACTTTATCAAAATCAGCTATGATTCTTCATCATCACCCTTGTCGAGATTCGGGTGCATTTTTAGCAAGCCAATAAGCTTACAAATTTCCAACTTTCTAAACACATTCGTATGTAGCTAAAACCAATATGCATCCGTTTATTATATACATTTGATGGCTATATCTAAGGCTAAATTAATTACGAGTTATAAATGAAGTTGAGTCAACTTAACTTCATTTAACTTAACGCTGTACCTTATCTGACATGATTAACGAAAACAAATGGAACCTTTTAAGTACGGAAAAGAAAAATTGTCGAGATAAAATTTTATATTTCACCATAGAGTCAGCTGTACTGATTGCGTTCGACTTAAGCATCAACCAAAATTTTCTGATCACTATTCAACTGACTGTCTGGAGTTTTGAAGTGTAAAGCAAAAATTGTCAAGTCTTATTGCAGGTTTTTTTCTCTTTTATCATCAGTTTTTCAGTGTTTACACTATACTACGTTCTAAGTTTGCAAACTTTTTTTCACAGAAAGAGCTTCTTCCGAATGTCACTAAGATTCGGGATTGAAAACCTGTTGTGTGTAATATTCTTGAAGCGAGGTTACTTCTTGACTGAATCACCATAATCTGGGTTTGCTGAATCACTAACAAGATACATTATATAGCTTAACCAGAGACATCTAGAATCCCAGTTTTAAAAAAAGCGAGGATTTTGGAGGTGAGATGAGGTATATAAAGTGTTTGCTTTACTTCTCTCAAAGTCGCTTGAGAATATTATTTCAGCATTGACGTTTGAACTGACGTAAAGTGTAAAATTGTCAGTACCTCAGTTTATATAAGTTATTATTTGCCCGACACTAAAATGCCTGTCATAGCTCAGGCTGCCCAAGCTCCAGCTGTGAGATGATCATCTAGCGAAATAACAGTCATGACGAAATTATAAGAGTTTGTATGGAAATATTTACGACCGCTCTTAGGAATAAATAATACAGTCAAATTCTCAATGAAAATACCTCACCCTGTTTTCACAATGCGTTGCTTGTTATCTGACCGCTTACTTTGTTGAAAACCCATTTTAGCGAGTTATCCATTTCTAGGTTTACTACATAAGAGAAGACTCTCAAACAAACTCTTATGATTTCGCCATGACTCTTATTTCGCAAGATGATCATCTCAAAGCTGGTGCTTGGGCCGCCTGTGGTCATAGTAAATTTCATTATGCAAAAATGTAAGTTTACTTAAGAGCGAAAATTTCGGACGTCACCGCTAGATTACTCGGTGACGTGCATACAGCACCAAAAAGCTTAGGCGAATCATCTGCAACATACAATAAGTATATGTAAACAAGCCTAGTCTGAGATCTCTACAGGCCCAAATAAAAAACAGCTGGAGTTGTCCATGTAAAATCTCATACTATTCATTACTGTTTTGTTTATAATATATTTGCCGCATGCATGGCGAAAGTTAAGAAACACTGTTTAGAATTGCTGGAGGTTACTGATCCTCTAGTGCTGCAACTTAATTTTGCTAAGTATGACGTCTTAATTCTCTAACAGGACGATCTAATCCTTTCATAGGAAATGTCCCCGAAAATAAATTCGTTTTGCTGACGTCATAGAATGAGAAAAGCTGGCATCAGTTGAAGTAGACTGGCTGAAATAACTGCTGTGCAACACACAACGCTATTCGCTCGAAATTTTAAGAATAACGAAGATGTTAATGAGAATGAAGAGAGCAATCATCCTTCCAATGCTGGTTCTCTTTGGATCATGTCTCTACATCGGAACATTTTTTTATCTCATTGTCATTGAAGAGTCCCAAGGTATGTTATATCAACATCTTTACTTAGTTTTGCATTGTGCGTTCTCAGTGAGAATAATTCCTTGTATAGCCGCTTTCACCGTCTATGATCGCATCGCGTCAAAAACGAAAACGGTTTCTTTGCCATAAACTGCACTCATAATTTCCTCTTCGGCACAAGTGTTCCTTCGCCAGTGGAAAAGTATGAGGCAAAATCTTCGCGCGGACGGAGAAACGTGCGTCCTGCAATGCCTACGAATGGAGAGTTTTGGATCCACGCTCTTCGCCGTTAAGAAGTATGAGTCCAAACATGAGGCGGAGAAACAGACGTTCTGTAGCGCTACCAATGAGCGCGGACTAGCTTTGAAATGAATTCGAGATCAACGTCTAACACTTAATAATAATAACAATCATCATCATCATAAATTGAAGATAATAATTGCAATAATAGTTATAATAATAGTAGCTTTGATACTATGACTATTAATGAATAAATTGATGTAAACGAGCTGCCACTACCCCTAAATTCGTACCCAGACACTCGCAACAAAAGATGAGAGGGACCTAGCCTCAGAGGCCAAGCGTATGTTTATCTACTCCTTGTTCATAGTACTGTTTACGTGTCGTGACTGCTAGTATAAGATTTATTGCCATAATTTACGTTTTTTAAATTTTCCTTGATTTATAGATATGGTTATGAACGAAAACAGAGGAAAAGAGTTTGATTTCTCTCCTTCGAATTTAAAAGAATTTGGAATAAAGGCTATTGCTGACATTAAGTTAGCAGGAAATATTGCAAATCATAGAGAGCTGGTGACAAACGTGGACGGCCCTAATGATGTCGTCATTCCAGATCGAACCGCATCTCAGACGAGTAAAAAGCCAGAACAAGCACGTCAACAGAAAAGAACACCCAGGGAATTACCTGCAAAGTTGATAGAAAGAAAGGCAAGCGTTCAAGTAAAAACCAAACTGCATTCTGCAAGTAAACGTAAAGACCATAGGATCATAGAAGATTTATTACACTCTGTAAGCAATGACAAGTACTTTCCAGTCGATTCGATTTGCCCTTTTTTAGGATTAAAAATGGAACCGTATATTAAATTCAAAGACAGTTTCCACGAGAATGAACATTGCCTCCAACGACAGCCATCCTTAGATGAGTGCCAGGAGGCAGTAAGAGATTATAAAATAGAGACTCTTCCTATTGCAAGATGCGAGGAGCAAACTGAGAAAAACCTTTGCACGATTAGTGATAAGTGGCGGTCAGACCGTAGTGTCAAAGTTAAGGTGCGCTGTGATGTTCGAAGATGCGGAGAGAATCCTATCTATGCTGTGAGTTTGAACCCTAAAACTGGGCAACTTGAAGACGAACATCATTGGCACAAATTTATTTCCAAAGCAGATATCGAAGCCAATCTTCCATTCGTTGTTATTCAAATTTCCAAAAATGGCCTGAACTTTTGTTTTCTTCAATGTCTCAACAACAATACCTCTCAGGTAATCAAAACAATTCTAAATTTTCCTCCTGTTCTTGTTCGATCAAACTCTAATCAACCCAAAGCGCAGCCCCCAGCCTTAAACATTAACATGGTCGTTCTGAGTTCTACGTCTCGACCACATTTCTATCGATCATTACCCGAAACTGTTGCCACACTACGAAACATGGTTTATGACAAATCAGAAACAGCATCCGCCTTAGATTTCGAACTCCTTCAGAGCCTGACGTCAGATACGGCACAAAATCTTCAAGCTCTTCTCTCAGGGCAAACCGACAGAGAAGCCCGTGTCCAAGGATTGACTCTGTTTTCAACATTGAAAGAGCTAGGATATCAAAACATATTCCAAACTGATCAATGCTGGTTGAGGCATGACTATGAAAATATGGGAGAAAAAATTAAGATGGAATGGAGTCGCTGTGACCCTGGAATGACCCATGTAGCTTGCCAAGCGACGGACGAGCACAAAGTTAACAATAAACTCGAAGGAAATCACACGACTACGGCCTCATGTTTAAACGGCCATTACGTTTTCGACTACATCTTCGATTTCATAGATAAATTTCAGCTTGCGTTAAGAGTTACTAAGACAAAAACACCTTTCTTTTCTCACACTTATCTGACCTTAACGAAAGACGAATTAGGAGTCAGAATAAGGCAACTGGACAAGCAACTGTCCATGTTTCTACAGACCATGGCGCGTGAAGAAAATGCTGTGACTATTGTAACATCGGACCACGGCCCAACAGCAACTAAGTACTCAATGGATTCGATTGGAGGAAGATATGAAATGTATAATCCCCTTCTTTTCATTATTATACCCAAGCAATTATCTCTGAGACTTGGAAAACAGCAAATGGAAGCCTTGATTAAGAACCAAAATCGGCTAATATCTCACATCGATCTTCACGATACTCTTATTTCGATCGGTAAACTCGGGGGCAATCAGCGCGGGTATAGTAAAGGACTTTTAGCAGAAATAGCCATCAATCGAACATGCGCAGATGTTGGTATCAGTGAAGAGGCCTTGTGCAAGTGTCGCGGTTGGGAAGAATGGTTCCCGAAGGATGACCCAAGATTCACTTGGATCGCCGAGTTTGCCCTTGGGGAGCTCAACAACGTACTTCAAGATATGATGCAAAATTTCTCGTTGTTAAATGAGGGACATATCAAATGCCACAGACTCATTGGTTACGCCATTGAAAAGATTCACCAAGGAAAAGACAAACGTTTTCTTTCACTGGATTTAGTGGCACATCCTGGAAGGCAGTTATTTGAAACCAAACTTTACCTACCAATGAACTTTTCTTTAGAAGCCGGCAACGCAAACTATCTGTTCCAAGGAAGTAGACAGTTGATGAAAGTACTTAGCTTTCGAAAAGGAGATCACCGTCTAGACCTTACAGCTACTGCAAAGAGCGGACCAGCGATTAATCTATGTCTGCAAGATTTTCACCGATTGAGCAGCAAGATGCGAACGAAAAGAAATTCCAGAGGAGCAGGTACAAAGTATGACGGAAACATTTTGCGAATGGCACATTATTCCAAACACTTTGGAGCTAGTCCACGAATTCGAGTACTTGACAGGCGGGAGAAATGTCTCTTTCTCGTCACGAGAACGCATTTTAATCAAACGGTGGCGTTAGAAGTCTTGAACAACTGTGTTCACAGGACTTTCGTGGTTAAAGTTGATATATCGAATCAAAAGGAACATGTGCATCTGACGAAAAAGCTTCCAATGCTAGTTCAACTAGCTCCAGGGACTTTTCGTTTTTTATTCAGTGCTTATATAACGGAAAGGGCCATGATTCTCAAGCCAAAAATTGCCTTTAAAGTTGTCAAGGTCAATGTTTAAGGCGAGTAACTGTCTAGTAATCTGGAATAGAAAGTGGTTTCTTTTCCACAGAAATAGTTTTGGTTTTAACTATTTAGTCACTCTGACTAAATTTTACTGGATAAAGGGGGTAAGTTTCTAAAGAAACTGCGATGCTGCGTTGATCGGTGTTACATGCAACCAGATAATTTGCTTTTATCTACGGAGTTAATAATGTTAACTAGCCATCGCATAAAGCTTCTAAAGCTGAGGCTTCGAACATTAGCCCTTAATAATAGCGACCAATGGCTAGCGCTTGAAACATCAGCATTAGAGACCCTGGGACCAAATTATTGATGTACTCCCTATGCCTTCCTTGCCTACTTCTGGTTTGGTTTTTCGTTTCCGTCACCTTGATGAAGTAAATGGTTCGGCCCTTTGTTTCTGATAATGACTTCAACTCAGCTTGTCCAAACGTCAGTCTTGGCACTGAGCTAATACCGACAACAGTCCCTTTCAGGACTATACATCACCGGAAAATTTGACTTATCGATCATTTGCCTAGATCGCCGCTTAGTGTAACCGCCAGAAAGTGACTGGCGTTTTATTAATTGAAATCAGTACCTAGAAAAAATAACAAAAGTTCTCAGTCGTTTGCGTCACCAAATGCGCATTTTACCTGACTTATGTGCAAGTGCATGGTCGATTTCCAGCCCGTAGTGCTTTTCGGCATCCCATTAAAAAGGGAAGGGGGGTTGTTGATCCGTTTCACCTTAATTATGATAAGCATCGAAAAGTTGTTGTTCGGATCGACTTACGTGAAGTGGCCTTTTATTTTCACAAGCATCGTTGAAAAGAAATGAACTTGAGAGACTGCTTTGGGAGGTAGTCTGTTTTTATTTTCACGAGGTCTAAATCTCAGATACCCAGCAAGAAAGCACTGGAATAAGAGATATTTCTCACCTTTAAATCAAATAGGACTACTAAACGAATGTGACACAAAATTACTAAAATTATCGTTGAGTGAATTGTTCCAACAGTAAAGTAGCATTAAATTATTTCTATTTACATAACCAATGAATAATAAATATCAAGAAATTGTGGATCCTTTCACTAAGTTAGAAACAAGATAAAGAATTGGAATGGTACCTGCCTTAAACCTGTTATCTCAATTGTTAAAAAAACGAACCCTGCACACGGATTTGGCGGGTAATAAAAATTAGGAAAACATAAAAATTCCTTTTTCGAAAATTGAAAAGATACAACATCAGCTTGATTTAAGCTTCGTGTGAGGCAACAAAAACCTAACGTTAAAAACGTTCGGCTTAAGTAATGAAGCACACTACATTACTGGTTTCTTAAATGTTTCCATAGAGAAAACTTTAATTTTACTGGAGTATTAGTGCTTTGATAACGATTCTGGCGTGAGCGAGCGAGGTTGCACGGGATGTCTGTTCTTGTTCTACGAAGCAGAAAGGTATGTCTTACTTTAGAAGCTGATTGCAAATTTAGATTTTGATTGAGTGATAGTAAACAATATTAAAGCGTTTTCTCTGCTGGAATAGCTTGACCGACACATGTATTGCACCAGAAACTGGAAAGGCGCACTGAAGAATTTCATGACATAATTCTGTTAATTTCAAAAGAAATTTAACTTTGATTCGAAGACACTGAATTTTAGAGAGAAACGTTCTAAGTGTTTGATCGTTTCGACAAACATATTATACAATGACAGAAGGAATATTCGAGCAAAAGGTGACAATTTTCAGAGCTCTCTGTTTACGAGAGCGAAGGCGACCTTTATGTTTTTGTAGTCATGGATTTATTGCCATGGTACTTCTACGTCGTTTGAATATTCAGAAAAACAGCTGCACAAATGTTAACTAAGCGTTTGCTAATTTTTTTACAAAGAAATAAATTGTTTAAATTTTGGGCTTTATTTGAATAGTTCTACATTCTCTTTGACATTCCTTATCATGGAACAATGATTATATGTAACAAACACCAGTCCATTTTAGTGATGGTTATTATTAGAACATCAGATACAACAGCCTTTCTTTGACTGTCACGAGACGTAAGGCACTTTCCTGTCATGTTATCAAAACTGAAGCATTCTTTCCACACCATCGAGCCAATCACTCTCGTTTTCCCTAATCCTAGTGTTCAGACGATCAGAACAATTGTATATAAACCAGCAAATGATCACAGACGACTGTGTACGATCGGAACGACCACGATCGCGTCGACCCTGATCGGGACGACTACGATGGGGTCGACCGCGATCCGTTCGACTACGATCGGGGCGATCACGATGACAATGACCACGATCGCGACAACGACGATTGCGACAGCTACGATCGGAACGAACTCGATCAGAAAGACTGCGATTGCGACCATCACTTTCACAACGACGACATGTATGTCCCAAAAACCGAAAAAAGGTGCCTTCAACATCGCATGGCTTAAGTAGATTTCGACATCATACGATATCATCTTAAGGAGTGTGAACAGCGTAAACAAACTCAAAAATTTGGCCTAGCAGAAGTTTACAATTTCGTAGCTTAAATTGGACAACGAAATACTAAAATCATACATTTTGCTTTAATTTCCTAAGCAAGTGATCTTTCGAATCCAACGAACACGTTTGCTCATACTTAGAAATCGTTCCTCAGTTGGAAACTAGTTTGACAGAATGTGTGATGCTTGATTCAAATTAAAAAATTGCTTCCTCTTTGACAAATATTTTAAGCCTCCTGATTGATCGAGTACTCCCTGACCGTTTGACTTAAAATCAAAACTATAATAAAATTCTCGACTGGCCATCACCACCCCGACTCAGTGAGCACTTATAGAACAGTGTACGCGTCATGCTTGTAATTGGACAGTGTAATAGGATAGTTGAAACATCATGCCCGTGTAAATGGACGGTACGCGTCATGTGTGTTGTCGTGCATTTCGCTGAATTAACTGGTTTTTTTTATGAAAAAGTATAAGCGATGTCTAATTTATTTCTCAAATTTTTCATAGTTTTTATTAGCCGGTAACGGGATTTCGAATCGTCCAATTCTGTCTGAAATCATACTCGTGATTAGTAGATCTGACTCCCATTTCTCGATTTGGATAATCACTCGTAAGATGACGGACCGAATTGGACTCCACTTGGTCCTATTACCATTAGTAATCAAGCTGATTGACCAGCTGACCTCGTGGGACCGCCTGACGGAATTTAGAGTCAGACCGCATCTTTAATACCCGGTTTAAATGACCTCAACGGTTTGGTCCACCTGGCCGCATGACTATCTACAAACCAATCAACTGACAGACGGACCACCAGACAGATGGACCTGGACTGATAAAACAGATGGATAAATCCAAATTCAGATTCCAATACCTGTTGTGATGAGACATACAGACAGACAATGACATATAAGTTTAACAGGCAGCATAGATGGAATACGGATGCGGGATCGAACGGACGGAAAGAAATGTAAAAGGGAGTAAGCTTCTGAAGCAGCTGTGGTGCTGCGTCGATGGGAGAGTATAACAGGGTAATTTAGTTTTACCGACTGAGTTGATAGCGTAAATTGGCCACCGTAAAGAGTTTAATTTAAAAGCTGACGTTTCGAGCATTAGCCCCCCGTCTAGGCGATTGTTTCGAATGTTTCGCTCTGACAAAGGGCCATTGTTCGAAACGTCAGCTTTTAAACTCTTTACGGTGGCCAATTTACGTTATCAACTCAGTTATTAATACTAAATTACCGGAAAGACAAATAGACAGACTAAACAGATAAGAGAGATATTTTACAACCAGTCCATCAATCAATGGTGAGTTGGTGAGGTAGCTGAATAAACAATTCAGCTCTTTTATTACGTAAGTCTTAGCCCTAGTCCTAGTCTTAGTCGATAGCCCAGGTCTGTGGATTCCATTTTGACAAATTTCTCTTTCCCAACAGGCTTTCTTCCTGCTTGTAGCTGCCGCGGCCCTTGGACTTTACTTTTGGACCACAAGAACGCAAATGAGACATTTTGCTTTGTTTGCAGCAGACATTGACAGTACCATTCTAAAAGGTAATTTAAATAAAATTCAGAATAAACATGACTTCTAAGCGCCTCGTTCAGAATCAAACATAACTATATATGGAAACAACTGTAAAAATACATGAATAAACAAGATCGCAAGAATTTCACTTAACAAAACTGCCATCGGAGCTTGCATGCTTTTATCTTTCACACGAAATAATCAACAGGTTATGGATTTTAAATTTGCCCAATATAGCCTCCTGGTCATCGAGGTGCTCAGTTGTTTTGTCGATCATTTTCAGAAAATAACCATGTATGATAAATTTAAACAAACTCTAGATGTATAAATTTAGTTGTCCACTGAGAAATATATGTTTTCTTCGACAAAAGGTGCATCTGCAGATGACACAACATTTTCTTCTCAGTTACCACTACCAACCACTGCTCCCAAACTTAAAAGTGTCACGACGAGCCCTGAAAATTGGTGGGATGAAGTGGAGGGAGAACGCATAACTGAAAGCGCTAAGAACACTGTGATGCAGGGACCTACTGGGAATATTTCTGAGGATATGTCACATGAGATGGACAACGAAACTAACAGTTTCGATCAGCTTTGGGATTCTGCGTCTGAAAGCGAGCCACTTCTCAGAAAGAACACCGAGAAATCTCTACCTCCTTTCACCGATGTTCTGAAGGAATCTTTGAGGGAAATGTCTCCATCTTCTAACATCGGGAATGCCAGTAATAAACATGATGTGCCTAGCAAGTCGCAAACGATAGATGGCCGCAATCGTGTAGTTAGCGAAAGAGCTAACGTCTTTGAGACATTGTTTGAAGAAGACCGGGAAGATCCAGGGGAGTTTCCGATAGGGACGGCTTGTCCATATATGGGTATGAGAAAATTTAAAAGCACGAAACAGCAGATGAAACAGAAAGAGAACGTATCATGCGTTGCACACGTATCGACGGATGAGGACTGTCAAATGGCAAATAAAGAATATAGAAATCACCAAAAAATTCCTCAGTGCAATGAAGGGCCTGAGAAAGATATTTGCTCAATTGAAGAAACATGGCGAGCAAGTCCCGAAAGTAAGCTAACAATTCAATGTGACCTATCAATTTGCAAGGGACATCCCGTGAGCGTCACGGGAATTCACCCGTTGGAGGGCGTGGTGGACAAAGAGAAAGAGGGATATACGTTTAACAATTCCACGGCTCTTGAAAGATTTCTGGGACACTTTGTAATCGTGAACACGTTACGCAAATTTAGCTTCTGCTTTCTTCGATGCAAAACAGGGCGTAAGAAATACGCCCAGCAAATCCTGATGTTTCCTCCGTTATTAGATATAGAGGACTCAGAATTTCTACCAGATAAGAAAGATCCCAGTCTAATAAACATCAACATCGTAATGCTGGATTCAGTATCGCGCGCACATTTTTATCGTTCGCTGCCTAAAACAGTCAGCACGCTGCGAAACATTGTTTACAATAAGTCAATAAATGCAACAGTGCTAGACTTCGAGTTATTGCAAAGTTCAGCGCCGTTCACCTTTCACAATATCAGAGCCTTTATGTCTGGGAAAAGCGATTTCGACTACATTGAGCATTCAAACGGCACATACCAAATAGAGGTGCTGTATAAGAAGATGAAGAACCAAGGTTATTACACTCTCTTGCAAGAGGATAGCTGCTGGTTTGACGAGTGGGGATCCTTATTCACCAACAATATATTTCAAAACAAGACACCTCACAGTCGAAAGGAATTCCAAAATCGCTGGAGCGGATTTCAGGATGTGGTAAACGGTTATCATGTGGATGACTACGGCCTTTCGTATTCATCATGTGACGTTTTCAAACAGTACAATGTAACTAACCAATTTAATCGGCCGCTCAAAATTTGCTTCGGGGGTAAAGTGTATTCTGAGCTTTTCTTGGATTATTCCCTTAGTGTCTTTCAAGGATATATTGATTCCGGTAAAAGACAACCAATATTTGCCTATACACATCTGAATGCCGGACATGAAGTAACTGGAACCCGCATAAGACAAATTGATTACGCTGTATCAGGGTATTTACACGCTATAGCGCACGAAGAAGACACTCTGACACTTGTTTTCTCCGATCACGGACCAAAAACCACGAAGTTCTCGTTCCAAACAATGGAGGGGCGAGGAGAGATTTACGATTCGTTGCTATTTGCTATAGTTCCAGAAAACGTGGCTAATATTTTAGGATTACGACGCATGCGTGCGATGATCACAAACCAGAAGCGTCTTCTAACAACTTTGGATCTTCACAACACAGTGATATCGATCGGAGATTCTGAAAGGTCGACTTCCGATTCTTATTTGAAGGAAGGTCTCTTCTCAGAAATACCAGCCAATCGTACATGCGCTGATCTATCGATCAAACCTTCAGCTGTTTGCAAGTGCGAGGGGTGGGACCAAAAGTTTCCTGATAATGACCCTCAATTTATATTCCTCGCCGAATTTGGTTTGGGACTACTTAACAATAAAATTCAGGATGATTATCTCACAACTCCCGATGCTGCCGGGGGGTTTGGAAAATGCCAACGTTTAGTTGGACATCGTTTTGAAAAAATACGCAGGAGGAAGGTTGGTGAAGAGTATTTTTTGACTATGGATCTAATTGTACTACCAGGGAAGGAGATATTTGAAATTCAATTGAGATACCCTTTAGGAGTCTTAGCAGAAAGGCGGAAGACTTTTCCCGCTCTAATGGGAAAGCGGAGAGTGAGTATATATCGCAAATACGAGAAATGCGTCGATGAACATGTAAAGGTGCAATTATGTGTTTGCGATTCGCATCACTATGGAAGAAACATAAGCAATAATAATGCGTGGAAATGGTTCGAGGTTAGAACCGGATCAGAGGTATTGGAAACCGTGTTTAGAGCAAATAGTTTTGGTACAAACTCTGAAGTCAAAGACTTAAGTGAGTCGTGCTTGTTATTAGTAACACGGAAACGTAAAAACCTTAGCGTAGCCTTCGAAGTAGCGAACGCTTGCAAGAGGCGAAGGTACAAAGTCAGAATTACAGGGAGAGGAAACGGAAAAACCTTATTAACAAGAAAACTGCCTTTTTCTATCATGCTGGAACCAAACACAGTGCACTTTGCACTGAGCGTTCATTACGTGGAAAAACCTTATGGTTTTTACCTAAAGACATCATTTGTGGGTTATAATGTTTGACATTAGTCTGTCAGCTTATAGACCAGAAACATTAATTTAAACTTAATTCGAAAACACATTTATTTGATAAATCAACAAAATGAAACTTTTTAAATGTTATTACCTTTGTCTAATGTTTTAAGTGTATTGTAAATAGAGCCTAAGGGACTGTAAATATATTCTATCTGTGTGATTCAAATCGATTGCTTTTTCACCTTCTACCTTTAGCTTAAACCATTTGAGTTTCATTTTATTTTTAAATTGCGTCGCTTAATTGGCTTTGTTCCTGTTATACCTCCCGTCATATCCGTTAGTATCGGATTACCGGCTGATGAATCCGAGAGAAGTCTCCGAATTTTTTAGATAATGTGGCCAAAAGTTTGCAATCAAAGGGAACTTTTATTTGAGAGAATAAAAAAAATCGACTTCTAGATATAAAGATGACCCCCCTAATTATTTGTCGTATAGCAGGTTGTTTCTTCATTCCGCGGGCTGCTCAATAGACATTACCACGTGACTTTGCAGGTACAACCTGTTGCTTTAAGTGATCGATCGATAGAGTAACACTGATGTGAAAAACGCTCAATCAGTTATCTAAGGTGAGCGCCGGCTTCAATTTGCATGTAATGTCTTGGAGAAGAGAGCCTAAGAATGAAGCAGCTATTAGCAATCGAGTGAGATGACAATACAAGAGCCTTGTGGGGCCCGAAAAATATTACTCAGTACATCTGTGACCGCCAGACAGACAGAAAAGAATGAGGCTTCAATCGATAGCAAGCTTGCTAGTTCTCCGCAACAAGAAGGTCAGAAGATTATCCTTAATAAGATGTCTTTTATCTAAGCTTTTTAACGCAAAAGGAAAAGCTTTTAAGGGAATTTTTCCAAGAAATTGAAGGATAATTTCAAATTGTCTCGACGACAAAATGTCGTTCAGGTTGGTTGAAAAGTTACACTTCGCGATGCATAAAATCAAGTAGTTTTCAAATTGTTTTCAAAATATTATAGAGAGGATTTACGACTAAAACATACTCCAAAACACACACACAGATGTCCCAGCAATAAGCCCATATCAAGCCAATTTACTGTAAATAGATACAGTCAGTGACATATCTCACAGAGCGTTTTGAGCACCTTGTTTACTTGCTTTAATCTTTAAAACGCTTCATGGTGTTTTATTGTTCGTAGCAAATTCGTTTGGTTTCAGTATTTTGCTCTCAATTGAGTGGAAACAAAACATTTACCTCACTTCGCTTTTCAGAATCATCGACCCGTAACTGACCCACATAATCAAAATATCGCCAATATGACAGTCGACAACGTGAAAAAAAATCCGAGTCAAAATATGGGAAAACTTGTCGGTAGAAAGGTGTAATTTTACCCGAAAAAAATATAGATATGAAAAAGGAAATTGGGTGTCCAATGCTGCATTCCGAGAGATGTGGTTCAAATTGTTCCAAAACCATTTTGATGGCTTCTGCAATCTGCCCTAAAGTATCAAAAAGAGCAATTAGTACTCGCAGGAATCAATAAACTGGCATTTGGCTAGCGGCAGAAAATTATTCTTATCAAGAGAGATTTTGGGTTTTAATTGTCTTCTTTTTATCAAGGCGTTTTTTGTCATTGTGGTCGTTGTTGCAACAGTCGTTTATCTTGGCACTGTGAGGGATTTCTTCCGAATGGAACAGTACACGGCAGTAACTCCTAAAGAAGACATGCAGATACAGGGTAAGTCAGATAAAGAAGATGAGAAAGAACATTGGCGCAACGCTCATGAGTTTAAGCCTCTGTATGAAGCATTTCCTCGGTCAAAGGTGTTGCTTGGCTGAAATTTAAAAAATAACTTTTGCTAACTGTGGGAAAGCCTCGATACTTCGCTCTCAACACTTTAAGTGCTTTTGTACAAAAAGTGCTCAGTTTAAGAACAAAATATAAAGGAAATTTCGAGCTCATTTCGTCCAAAAAATCAACACCAAAACTTTGCAATGATGGCATGAAAGCAAAGTAAAAAATAAAACAGGAACAGAAATAACAACTCAAAGCATTTTTAAATAATGCGTCAGCTATTCTAGGTGTAAGATCTAGATCGTTTACATCCAATTGTGCACTGTGCAAATCTGCCCCCAATTTAAAGGAAGCGGCAAAATATTAGCTTTAAACAAATGTAGCAAGATATTTCATCTCTGATCTTCCAGGGAGACTGACATAACTCTGAGGGAGGAGAGGGGGGTGTTGCGCTCTTCACTGTCTCTTGATGCTATGCAAACCTGGATAAGATCCGGCAAGGGGGAGGGGCCTCCTGGCTCGTGTGCTGATTTTACTGTCACATTCAATTCCCAGTATTTGTATTTACAGGGGAAAATCTCTTTTTGGATCGCATTATGAGCCAGCGGCGTGAAGACGAGACCTTTTTCGGGGATGTAACAACCAGACGAAATTCGATAGCTGGCATTTCTGATACAATGCACATCGAAACACCAGGAGAAGAAGTATTTCATGCCATGAAAACGGGCAAAAGTAGGATGCCTCAGGGAAGGAGAAACAAAAATATCACGCTATTACCAAGTGATGATGATGATAATGATGATGATGATGATGATGATGAAGGTGGCGCCAGCAATGCTAATGATGACGAAGATGATAATGACCATGTTAACAAACTGGATCACAGTGAGGAGACCCATGATGACAATGATGATGATGATGATGATGATGAACATCACAGTGATGATGACCATAATCAGAAGGATCGTAATCGAAAGGAAGGTGACGACGGTGACGACAATGATATGGACCATGACGACAAACTGGATCACTATGAGAACATCGATGAACACAATGATGATGATGATGATGATGAACGTCATAGTGATGATATCCATAAAAATAAGGATCGCAATGGAAAGGAAGGTGACGACGATGACGACAATGATAGTGACCATGACAACAAACTAAATAATTATCAGAAGACTGATGATCACAATGACGATGATGATGATGAGCGTCATAGTGATGATGACCATAATAAGGAGGATGGCAAAGATAAGGAAGGTGACACTTGGAATGATTTGTCCATCAGTAGCCGCTATAAAGGATCATTTCCATTATCAAAAGAGAGAATGACGGATACCCCAGGTAATTCTAAGCACGACTTGGTCAATTCTATACAGCCCACATCACAAAAAAAGAAGAATGCAAGATTTTCTCCTTCGACAATTGCAATTTTAAAGGGTTTGTCATCGAAAGTTATCCTTAAAGAGAATCAGCAACCTTTAATCCCAAAAGAGCTGAACAGTGTTGTCAGTGAGAAAAACTTACTTTTTCAAAAATCAAAAAAGATATTAAATCTAAGTGATTCTGATAATTTCAGTCAACCGCCAGTCAATCTGTTGGTATCTCAAGGCTTCAGGAATAACGGAAACCGGAGATCCTCTACATTTCATTTAAACAAACCAATTCCACCACCTATTGGATTTTCACCGGCTCCCAGCCTTTCGATAACAAAATCACCATGGCTGTTTTTTAATGACAAATCGGTTACACCTAAACATTACAATAGAACATCAGTTTGTCCACTCCTGCAAGTACGAAAACTTAGAATGTTGCCTGAGAATGTCCACTGTGTTCCACGAAACCGTTCCTTTCGGAGTTGTTTGAAGGCATTTCAAGACTATGATCTTGGAGGCAAACCTCTAACCTGCGGAAACAGTCCACCAGAGGAGCCGATGTGTTTGATCAATATTATCAGGCAATTTCCTAACTTAAGGGTACCAGTTGTTGCGTGTAATACATCATTGTGCGGAACAAATCCTGTGTACGTCCTAGAGTACAGTCCTATTTATGGAATCCTCGAGGAACGCCATCTGTGGAAACGCTTTTTCACTTCACGGGGGCTTGAAAAGTACCTCGAGAGATACATAAACACAAATTATACCCTCAACTTTAATTTTTGCCTTCTCCTTTGTGTCCGCAAAGGTAGGACAGGTTTCATCGAACAGTTGATGACATTTCCCATAGCGCAAAAAACTACTAGTAGTAGAGTAAGCAATGAGGCGAAGTTCAACCTTAACATTTTGGTGCTTGATTCTGTGTCACGGCCGCATTTCTACCGAACACTTCCAAAAACGGTCACGTCCCTGAGAGAAATAGATCATTTAGAATCGCACAACGCTACTGTAATGGATTTTGAGTTACTACATAGCTTAGCTTCATATACTTTCCCCAATATCAGGGCTTTAATGTCTGGTAGGATAGACTTGAGTGCTTTTGGAAGGCATGAAAATGAGACTTATGGTATAGAGGTTCTATTTGGAAAATTCAAACAGCTTGGTTATTACACATTGCTTCAAGAAGACAGCTGTTGGTATGATTCGTGGGGTTCGCTGTTTACAGACAATGTATATCAGGGTAACATGCCACGATACAAACACGAGTTTGCCAACCGTTGGAAAAGGTTTCTTGAAAAGGTCAAGAATTACAATGTAGACGATTTTGGTTTATCGCATGCTTCCTGTGAAATTTTCAAGCGCCATAAAACAACCAATCAATTTAACCATCCGAAGAAAGTGTGTTTCGATGGAAAACCTTTCGCGGAATACTTTCTTGATTATAACGAGAAGATTTACAACAATGTGCTAAAGATAGGGAAAAAAGCCAGACTTCTATCATACACACATCTTAACACGGGACACGAAATAACTGGATCTCGCATACGACAAATCGACAAAAGACTTTCACAATACATTAAAAACATGGCTAAAATGGAAGACACGTTGACTATTGTGCTTTCAGATCACGGTCCAAAAACAACTAAATATTCATTTCACACAAGGGAAGGAAGAACCGAAAAATACGATCCATTATTTTTTATTGTAATTCCAGACAAAGTGGCAGCAATCCTAGGTCGACGAACACTCCACGCCCTAGAGCAGAATCAAAACCGTATCATCAATACTCTGGATATTCACAATGGGCTTATGTCTTTAGGGAAAGCAACAAACTCGTCTAGTATAAAAGACAAAGGCATATTTGATTTAATTCCTGCCAATCGCACGTGCGCAGATTTACCGAGGAAACCTCTGGCGGTTTGCAAGTGCCAAGGCTGGGAAACAAATTTTCCAGATAACGATAAACGATTTACCTGGCTAGCAGAATTTGCCCTTGGAACTATAAACAACCAAATTCAAGAGCAGTTTCTGAGAGGCGACAAGCAGGCTGGAGGTTATGGAAATTGCCAACGCTTGGTTGGAGAGAGCTTTACCAAGATTCGGCGTCGCTCCCAGGGAAAACATTACGTCACAACCATGGATATTATCGTAACACCGGGACAGGAGATTTTCGAGGTGCAAATCAAATATCCTCGGGTGTTAAAGAACCAAAACTCCTTTGCAAAACTTACAGTTCACGAGCGTGTCACTATTTACAGACATTTTCGAAAATGCGTGGACACCACAGTTAGTTTAGGATTGTGTGTTTGTGATAGCAAAAAACATCCTAAGCAACAAACAAAGCAAAGATGGATAAAGATTAAAAAGAGAGAGGATGTATTGAACATCATTTCACGATCCAACAGCTTTGGATCACAAACTAGGATAAAAGACATCCATCAAAGCTGTCTTCTTCTTTTTTATAGGAACCGTAGGAGAAGGAGCACTAGTTTTGAAATTTCAAATACTTGCAACGACAGAACGTATAAAGTCACTATTTCTTTAATAGAAGTTGATACCAACAGAGTTTTTGTTTCGCGAAAAGTACCATTTTCCATTTTTTTGCCTCAAAGGACAATTCACTTTCTTCTAGCAATTAGACGTTTAGGGAATACATCCCATAATTTTAGGCTGAGAGTAAAGCATGCAGTGCAATTTTCTAGGAATAGATAGGGTGTGTACTTTTTTTAATTCGCGTCTTTGCGTACCAGATCATACACATGACTGTGTGTTTTTGTTTTGTTTCATCTCTCATTTGCTGTTCCTGATGGATGCTTTTTTAACAAGGGATATGAATGATATTGATTTATTTGACCTGTGCCAGATAGTGGATTACAAAAAATGATAGTCTAGTATGAGAGGATGTGTTTCTGGATTGGTTGATTAGCGTAACAGATATTTTTTATATCTCCAATCTTCAAAGAAACTGAAAAATTTTTGAGGTAAAAAATTTTTTGCAACTGACGTTTTGAGAAAAGATTCCTTTTTTTGCAATGGCAAAGCATTTGCTAACTGTTGGGTCAATAAATACAAATTTATTGATATCTAGTTTGGTATATTGACTATCAAAGTAAGGAGGGGAGTTTTCTATCTGTACTATCCAACGAGCGTGGTGAAGGTGTCTAGTTTGGTACATTGACTATCAAAGTAAGGTGAGGAGTTTGCTATCTGTATTGTTCAACGAACGTAGTGAAGGTGTCTAACGTGACATAGGCCTGTGGCGTTTGAGTGCTGAAAAGACTTAGCGACAAAATGGCCTTTAAAAAAACGAAGCGGGATGCATTACATACTGGTCACGATCAATTTTTCTCGTATTTGCTCAGTCTAAGTGTGGTTGTTTCTTCTAAGAATACAAGGAAACGTATGTGTACGTGTTTATCAGCCTAGGCTTGAAGGACCCACGTTACATGCCTCAGACATCGCTTATCATTAGGGAGTTTGTGATGTCACTAGGGCGACGTCTGGTAAAACGTTGCTGAAAAAACGTAATATACTTTCCCCTAAGACTTTCACCGGTTAACGTTCCTGAAAAAACGTAATTTGCTTTCCTCTAAGACTTACGCCAATAGCTCGTGACGCTGACGGCACGACATCTTCACTTCGGTATAACATATAAATGTAGTGTTGAGCTTTAAAAAGCACGTGTTTCGCTATTGTTCTGCTAAATAGATCTTTTGTTTTGCGACGTTCTCGTTGCTGTCGCCCACGTGGTTTCCTCGTGGCGAGCAACCGCCAAAAGCATGAAAGAGTTCCTTTGCTTCTAATATGTTTTTTTTGTTCGTCTCTGAAGTGTCTTATTGCACAACTTGACATGTATCATATCGATAAGAAAGTACACTTCCTTGGAATGTCACCTTTAAGGGAGATCTTCTCTATTTTGACCCTTTAAGTGACTTTTTTTGTACTTGCGGTCTAAAACCAATAATAGCTGATTCGGAGCCTCCAAATTAAATATGAGGGCAACTCTGCCACTTGCTTTGCATCACAGGTGAGGTGTCAGTCAACTTGTTTGTCCGAGGAGGATTTCTCACATGATTTTTGCGCGTCCTCTAAGGGGAAAAGGGAATTAGATCGAAAGATAGAAATTCCAAACTTTATTAGAATTCCTCGATATAAAAGTAATCAGATCTTAAGGCGAACCGAGGTTACTGTAGGTCATTCAATATAGCAGCTTAAGTGGACTCTAACCTAGCACTTGGAAGGCAGTTGTGATATCCTATCCAATGCGCTAGATTAAAAGGCGTGAGTCAGGAATCACGGCCGGTAAGTCACGCTATAACACATGCCGTTGAACCTTTGTAATTATAAATAACTCTCCGCGTGATTCCGTGAGGCAAAAGAAAATTTGAATTTCAGAATTCATTAAGCTGATTAGATTTGCCAATCACCTGCTTATTTTTTGACGTTAACGAAATAATTTCGGCTATGCTGCTGTGCATGCGCACGCTCAGAAGGACCTCAAGTTCCACTCCTCTCTTTTCGTTCATCTCATCGCCTCGCAGCAGACCGTTGATCGTTATCGCGGTTTCACCACGGTGTATTTCAGTCGCTGTAAAGTGATTATTCGTGAAAGTGGAAATTTCGTTCTCTTTTGGTACGCAACCATGAAAGCGTTTGTTTACTTCGCAATCTGCTGCCTCTCGATAAATGCAGTTGGTAAGTACTAAATTGCATTGAACAATATAGTACTGCTCGGTTAAACGCCTTAAGCTCGTTGAGAGCCGAGGAGTAATTTGTTATTCTTTGAGAAACTCAACCGCCCGTAAAAAAAATATTCAAGTCACTTAGTAATTGTGCTGACCTTGTCAGACTAAACAGCAACCGGCTAATTTTATACATGATAGTGAATTCATGAGTCTAAATTAAGTTTCACAATTTTCCTTATTTATGAAAATAGGGACTTGTTTTATAAGCCTCATTCAGACTATTGTGAAATGCTTCGAGGTATGTCTTTCTAACATACATCAAGTTGTTCAATCGTTCTCAATTTCGTGTTGTTTCAACAAAGAAGAAGATATTTAAGGCAAAGTAAACTTCGTTAAGAGCCTGAATTGTTGATTGATACTGTTTCACAGCCTTGCAATTATGTGTTGTGGAAGATTAAAGTATTCGCAGCCTTATGAGCAAGTCTGGAAATAGTGACCCTTGCTTAAGATGTCTCCTGTGTATCATGTCCCACCTATCTTGTTACCCGCGTGATGAAATTATTTGACTAAAAGCAACTGCGAACGATAAACTATCTCAAATGTCTAAAAAAAAGGAAAAAAAAGATTTCTACGAGTGGAACTGAAAATTTTGGCACGATATTTTGATCATAGCCTTAGACGAACGTTACTTCAGATTTTGCCTCGATTAACTTGAAATAGCGAAGTTTAAATAAAGGCTCCATTTACCGTTCGATTTATTTGTTTTGCCAGTTCGGACAAAATGAACTAAAAAATGATTTTAGTTAAATTTGAGAATGTTTTTTTTGTGAAGCCAAGTTGGTGTGAGAAGCATGGGAAGGTCTGGTGTAAATACGACAACCACACCAAAGTTTCCTCCTTTCCTTTTTCCTTAGCTGCACAAATGCCCGTGCGTGACAGGTCATGACTTGTCAAAAGGACATTCATTTAATTCATTTGTTGTTAGGCATCTTTCTTTGCTTGTTTTTGCCTTTTGATTGTTTTTCTTTTTGACTTTTTTTCCCCTTTTCTTTACTGGTTTAACTGCGAATAAGCCACGGCCGGAGAAAGTCATTTGCGTCCCATTGGCAGAGCTCAGCAGTAACCGCTTGTAAAGGAGATTAAAACGAACAGAGTGGTTATATTCATCCAAGCAACTGGGGGAATAACATAGAGTCGTGTGCAGAGAAAGGCGCCGTCAATAGCGTCCCTCTCTTTTGTTTGCTTGAGTTTTGCGTTTGTTCATTTGCAGTTGCTTATTTACGAATGTTGTTTCCTTGGTGTCTGTTTTTCCTTCGACAGACGCCGGTCCCACACAGTGTCACTCATGCATTGAAGCTGACGACGCCTCTTGCTCTGCAAACCAGAAAAACCAAACCTGTGCCTCAGATCCACTCTCTCTGGGAACCACTCACTGTGCTTCCGTAGCAATCTCTTATTATGGGAACGAGACTGACATCCTAAATGATAAACTACATGACGGCTTCATACGAGGATGCATTGATTGCGGAGGTAAATTGATCTCAGCTTAATCTCCTCTGACAGGCACTTTTAAATCTCTAGAAACTCATTTTTTTCGTTTTTCTTTCATTACGAGAACCCACTGCTCCTTAGCGTCCTAAGCCACGAACAGATCAAACATAAGAAATTTTGGGATAATACTCTAGCTCTCGTTAATTCAGAGACTGGGGTTAATTGCAAATATAAAATTAACATTTGAACAGTGTTAGCTTTTGCCAAATGGTTTCTAAGTGATTCGTTGGCCAATCCCGCTAAAGAGGATAGTAGTAATGAATGTTTCTTTCTTTCTTTTTTGTTTGTTTGAAGTGCTAAAGTAGTCTTTATTTCTTCACAATATAAAAATTACATGTCTGATGTTATAAAGTGAAAAGTTAAAAAAGTAATAAAAACGTAGACGATAGTAAAAGAAAGAGTAAAAACCAAAAAACCTTACCTTGTAATTGAAAATGAGACGATTTACATAATAATCTTTAACTCTGGGGCAACGTCAAGAAATGTTTTGAAAGTTATATTTCGTTTCTTATTTCTTTGGGATTAAATTTCAAAGAGGATGGAAATCTAACTTTGCGCATTTATTTGTCCTGCTTTTCTCGAAGATAAAACTGCAGCCTGTTTTGCTCTTATGGGTGCCCTAAAGGCTCAGAAGACATGGAGCGTGCGGGAATGTTCAATCGAGTGTTGTACTGGTAACAACTGTAACAAGCAGACTCCAAACCTTGATACTGGCGACAGAAAAAGAGTTTTTACACCAGAAGGTAATCTGATAGAAACAAAACTTTGATAACTTTTTGCTGACCTTTTGTAAGGGCTAGTTACATGTATTTCACGTAAGCCTCTTGAAATGTTTAATTTTCCGATCTACCAAAGGCTCCTTTGTTTTCCCGGCATATTGTCAAACTCCCAGTCTTATTGGCTAGCGTTGTTGACGACTTTGGAGATTCAAGCACATCTGTCTCTAATCTTGACAAGGAAAGACGACTTGATGCAAGAACTTCTCTAAAAAACAAACTTGCGATCAATTTAACCGAAGGGCCCGTTTAAACAGGACCTCACGGAGCTGTTTTGTGACATGCGTGATTTCGTCTTGTTTGTAACCGCCTGTGTGTACCTTCGAATTCTATTGAGGTTGATACAGTACATGTCTTATTTTTTTTCTCGTACCGTCCTACAAGTGTGGAAGTAGACCACTGCCTCGTCGACCTGGATCATCCCAAACGTTTATGGTCTTAACCCTTTAACTCTCATGAGTGACCAAGACAAAATTTCTCCTTACAATAAAAATACAAAATCGAGCAGACAGGTGATGAGAATAGAGAAAAATATCAATCAAAGGATTGTTAGCTGATCCAATACCAAATTCTCCATACTGACAACATGAAAACTGTATTGCAGACAGTAAGGAGAATTGCTAATGAGATCTTGGGAATAAAAGGGTTAATCCCTTGTCACTCAAGGTTCCTGCTCCATACCGCAAGACTGCTGACAGTCTGTTGCTATCACATTAAGAAGAAAAATATTAATCCCTCAGTATGGCGTATACCACACTCATTCTCAGACGTTAAATTCTATATTGTCCGGGAGAGCAGCTAAAGATGAACCTCTTTTTAAAATTACGGTTTACTAATTGTATTTACGAATATTTCTCATGAACGCCAAGTACGTTAATACATGTCCGTTTTCTTTTCTTATCAGCTGACTGGCCCAAAAAATGTAACTATTGCAGTGAAAAAGACGCAGGTACTTGCGCAGCAAACGAACAGAGTCAAACCTGTGTGACAGATCCTAAGTCACTGGGCACAGGCGAATGTGCGTCTGTATTGGGACAATACCGCGACAAGGATGGCAAAATACATGA